GGGATTGATCCTGATGATTATGATCATGCCCAAGTTCCCCAGCACAGTGACTGTGTAGATGCTCAGGAATACCAGGAACAGGGGCACCTGGAGGTCTGGATATTCTGAGAAGCCCAAGAGGATGAAGGTGACTTCAGAACTCTGATTTCCCTCAGCTAGCAACATGATTGTTGTTGGAGAGAATCTGAAATAATGAATATAAAAATAGTAATGATAATATCGAGTACATTTGTGCAACACATACACTGTATTGGGCTTTGTGTATCTCCATACACTGTATTGGAGATTTAAATTAACCATATTAATTTAAATCTCCAAATAACACAGTACATTGTAAAACAAGTATCCCCATATTTTTATGTGATGAAACTGAGGCATATATTAAGGATCTTTCCAGTGATTAGATAGCTTGTTGGTGACGAACTGGGTTCTGAAGTTGATCTTTGACAAGCTGAAGTTGAATGACGTAGTTTTCTTTTAGATAGAGAGAAAACTCTTCCACATTGTTATAGAAAATGTGTCTTCCATAGTTTCATCATTCTGAATGTGTGTGCTTTTAAATAGCACTACTGTAACAATGATTATAAATTTAGCACTAAAAATTATAATAAAATGAACAGGAGTGTTAATGGTTTTAAGGAGATAATTCTGTCAGAATTACAATGGATCCCAGAAAGAGGCAGCTTTTATGAGTCAGCACATGGATTTCTGAGTTACTAAAATATTCATACATTTGGATGTTGAATGAAATACAGCTTTGTATATCTTCAGGCTTTCTGATGATTTCATCTTATGCTGTGATAATTACCTTCCTGTTCTGCAACAGCACAGCAACCAGTGTAGCATCCTGATGAAGTTGCAATTTTGACAGATTCCCTCACTTCTTTGTTTTCTTCCCACATCAGTGCTTTTTCATTTAGTGTCTCTGATGTTCTCAACATACCCATCTATATTGCTTATTCATTATCTTTTAACTTTCCATTACTATTTTTAATCTAACAACTTTATTAGGTGTATTATATATCTAAATAAGCAGAGAACACTGACCTTGAATAATATAAAATATTCTTTTCCCAAGACTTCCATGTTCTTTAGATCAATTGTAGAACATGGTAATAACCACCAATGGTTCCCTAATCACCCTCAACATTTCTGGTGACAGGAACATTACCACTGTAGGCACTGCAGAGGGTTTAGATTAAAGCTACATGTGTGATTGTCTTGTTTTGAGGCATGCAATCTTCATTATATTTATAAATGTTATTTTGAGAAAGAACAAGCATCTCATATGCACAAGCATTCCATAACCACAAAAGTCCCTTTAACTGTTTAATAATGATTTTAAAATAAGTTGAGCCAATAACAAGCACGTCTCTTAATTGTGCATTTTAGTAAAAGACATTAGTATGAATCACATTAGCAAAGACATCCTTTGAGTTTTGTCAGACCATCTGAAGGTAGAAAGAAACATATATCCTCCACAGCTAAA